CCAGAGACACACCGGATCCAGGTGACTTTTCTTGGCTGTAGTTAACTACCTACTGTATGTACAAGCATCTCTCTCCTTAAATCCCATGAGAGAGGAAAAGTTTTTCAACCACAGCCCAGAGAAACTCCCTTTGAATGCATTTCTTCAGGGTTGTGAATCGATGAAGTGTTTGATATCCCAGACACACCTGCCTTGGGGACATCTGATCCCCAGATCTCTGGTCTTGCTTCAGTCAGATCCTGCATTTCCCTGCTCACTTCTCTAAAATCCTTTGGGAGAAGAAGGGATCAGGATGCACACGTCAGGAAACTCTCCTGACATCAAGCTGATAAAGATTGAGAAAGGATTAAGGATTACCATCCCACCCTGAATCCTCTTACTGTGGAAAGTCTTCATACGGGATCCCAGAATAGCAGATCCATTCACGGAAGCCACATTCTATCAGAAAAAAATAACAAAACCAACTTCAGTGCCTTTGTGTACCTCCCACTTCATTGCAACCTGTAGGTCAAATTAAAACTTCCCCCTAGTTCCTTCATGGATCTTAATCATAGGCTCCCACATTTACAGGTTCTAACCCATGGCCCTTACCAGGAAATCAGAAAACGTACTCACACCCTTCTGGCAATTGAAAATGTATGTACTATAAACAATAATCCAGAATAAAGTATTAAAAAATCGTATTTCCATTGCTAATGAGTAAAAAAGAACATACAGGACAGAGTAGGCTGGCCCTAAGAGTTTCTGTGACTGTAACTCTGTGTGAGAGTAGAAAGCCCATCTTTCTCCCATACACTGGTCTGCTTTTGCCCCATGGGGTTCCTTCCGTTTATACTCAGGGCAGTATGAGATATGCTGGTTAACAATGCTCTATGTCTCTGTGGGAACAGACTCTCATCATTTTGTGCTGTGGAAGGTAGTGGTTTAGAAGTCTCCAACTGTTGATTCGTAGACCAACACAGCCCACTACTCAGGCACAGCACCCAAATGGCCATCCTTTCATGCCTGCCTTCTGCTGGGAAGAGTGAGCATCTCGCAGATCCTGAATGCCAAATTTTTGTATTTAGTCTGGAGGAGAAGTGAACACACAGTCGATAGCTTTACCAAGAGATGTTTATTTTATTGTAAGCAAGGAGAATTGGTTTGGAGAAATGTAAAACAGAATTTCAGTTGATCATCTGTAGCGGAAGGGAGTGATCTGGAGTGCCCCTCTCCCTTGGAGATCGCCATGAGTCTTGGTATCCACATTCCAGAGTCCAGGAGGTCCCCAAGACAGGGAGGGACCTTGCATTCAAAAACAGGCTTTGCTCTGCCCGTCCTTTCATGAGGGCATTCAGCACCTATCGGTCTGCTGGCCTCTCTGTTCATTTCTTCAGAAGAGAGATGTGAAGCCAGCAAGGGTGGTCTGGGGTGAAGCTGCCGATGTGAGACACCTCCTGTCACCTTCACCTCCACGTGGCCATATTATCATAGCAAAGATCACGTCGTGCTCATGAAGCTAGTCCCAAATGATCCCATAGACATCAGAAACACGAACATTTCACAAGTGGGCTAGAAAATCAGAATCAATGGTGGGGGTTGAGAGGACACGGTAAGGAAGGTGAGCTGCCTCTCTGTATGATGAGGATTGCATCCCAATCT